GGCCTCGCTAGGCCAAGGCTAGACGCGACGCGCTTCGCTGTCGATACCGCGCCTGGTTATTTTTAGCTCGCGTCTCAGCGGTCACGTTCGCAAATGCACTGTTGTCACGGACTGCGAGGCCTCGTTTCCTGTCTCTATATTTTAGTGTCTCTGGCAAAAGTTAATAGAAACTTGCCAGATTGCGCATTTCCTGCCATCGGCCATTATGTATTGCATTCATTGCGGGTTGGTCGACAATAAACGATACATTTTAATCTGCAGATTGGTCAAAATCTGGCTAGGCATGATTGCGAACTTTTTGGTGCAAATTTCCTCGAAACTAGATCTAGTAAACTAGATCTAGATCTAGTTACTAGATCTAGAATCTAGATCTAGATCTAGATCTAAAATCTAGATCTAGATCTAGTTTCTAGAATCTAGATTTCTAGAAATCAAGAATAATTCAAAGTGGTTTTCCGAAATTGTGACATTCGACATTCAAACGTAAAAATAGAGAAACTTTAGGCTAGATCTAGATATAGATCTAGATTCTAGATCTAGATCTCGTTTCTAGATTTAAAATCTAGATAGATTTCTATATTAGATTCTAGATATATAGATCTAGATGTAGATCTAGATCTAGATATCTAGATCAGATCTAAAAATCTAGATCTAGAATCTAGACTCTATGTAAAGAAATCCAACAAGACAAAATTTTGGTGATACAAAATAAGTAATAAGTGTTGTAATCCAGGGTTTTTGGCAATTTCTTCAAACAGGCTCCCAATTGCCATTTTTCAACCCTCTAAAAGCTCTAAATTTGTTGGTGATTGTTAAGGTTCCCGTGTTTATTAATTCCGATTTGCGTTATTCAGGGTTAGGGTTAGGGACCAAAGCGAAACATGCCTGAGGCTATGAAAAACACAAATCGGAATTTAACGCGTTAATCTTAACAATCGCCAATGTTTTATTCTCTGGAAGCTTCGCTCACTGAACCCCTACCGGGACGCTGTCCCTGAACCGTATTGGGGAGGGGGGGTGGGGTGGCTGTGAAGCCTTTGGATCCCCGGCAGAAATTTCCTTACTTTTCAGCTTTAGCTGTTGGAGGCACTGGACACACACGCGCACACACACACGCCCACACACTCTCTCTCACTCTCTCACACTCTGTGACTCTCACACACACACTCTCTCTCTCTCTCTCTCTCTCTCTCTCTCTCTCTCTCTCTCACTCTCTCTCACACACTCTCTCACTCTCACACACACTCTCTCTCTCTCTCTCTCTCT